GTCTAAAGCTCTATTCTTAGTAAAGAACAAATACAAGAAAGTTCAAAGCACCAAACTCAGCAAAGAATAAATACAAGAAGACCAAAACACCAAACTCAGTAAAGAACAAACACAAGAAAGTTTAAATCATCAAACCTGGTAAAGAACTTACAAAAAAAAAAAAAAAAATATTAGTTCAAAGTATTGAAATGGAAATTAATAAAGAAAGTTACTTATCACTACAGTCAAGTCTAAAGTACTATTCCCGATAAAGAACAAATACAAGAAAGCCCAAAGCACAAAACTCAGCGAAGAACAAATACAAAAAAGAAGAGAAAGTTCAAAGCTCTATTCCTAGTGAAGAACAAACACAAGAAAGTTCAAAGCACAAAACCTGGTGAAGAACAAACACAAGAAAAAAGAGAAAGTCCAAAGCTCTATTCCTAGTAAAGAACAAATACAAGAAAATTTAAAGCACTATTTCTGGTAAAGAACAAACATAAGAAAGTTCAAAGCACCAAACCAAGTAAAGAATAAACACAAGAAAGTCTGAAGCACCTAACCTAGTGAAGAACAAACACAAGAAAGAAGAGAATGTCTAAAGTATCTAACTCAGCAAAAAACAAATACAAGAAAGAAGAGAAAGTCTGAAGCACTATTCCTAGCGAAGAATCTACAACAAAAAAAAAATATTAGTTCAAAGTATTAGAAAATGAAAAATAACAAGGAAAGTTACTTATCACTACAGAAAGTCTAAATTAATATTCTTGTCGAAAAACAAACGCAAGAAAGAAAAAAAGTCTAAAGCACCAAACCTAGCAAAGAACAAACATAAGAAGAAAAGAATATCTAAAGCACAAAACTCAGCAAAGAGCAAATACAAGAAAGTCTAAAGTATCAAACTCAGTGAAGAATAAATACAAGAAAGTTTGAAGCATCAAATCTGATGAAGAACAAATACAATAAAGGAAAGAAAGTCTGAAACACTATTTCTGGAGAAGTACTGATATAAGAAAGTAAGTCCAAATCACTAATTCTAGCAAAGAGAAAGTCTAAATCATTTCCAGAGAAGTACAAACCTACAAAAGAATATTGGTAAAAGAATTAAAAAAATAGAAAAAAAAAAAATAAAAGCTATTTATTATAACAAACAAATAAAGTAAATTAAGATTCTTCTTTTAGAGTTAGCATTAGAGTTTAATTAAAAAATGTCTATATTCAATTTTGGCATTGTAATAAATGCCAGTTCTAATTTTTATTAAACATGTATTAATAGATTATTAATTTATTATTATTAAAGTGATCTTTGATATACAGTAGTGATCAGAGTATTTTCAAAATTCTTAACTGCAGAATTTTTAAATATTAGGATTTTTTATTGTCAGGATTTTTTGTTAGGATTTTTCTGTTAGGATTCTGACTTTTCAAGATTCTGTTTGTTAGGATTTTGACCCAAACCTGTTTAAATATAATTAAAAATGAAGTAAGCAGAATATGCAAAGCTATAAAATAAAAAAAAGTATTAGTAAGCTAGTTTATTTATTTAAACAATAATATTTTACTTCTGAGTATAGAATATAGGCTCTAAACAACTTTTTTAAGCAAATCAAAATGTGATAATCTACAAAAACCAATTTGAACCTTAATTAAAAACAAATTAGAATTTGAAAAGTCAACAGAAAATTTAATTTGTAGTTATATAGATTTTCTAGACATAAGATTAATTTAGCAGAATTAACTCACATATTACTTTACTGAATTAACAATATGTTTAAATCATCAGAGTCTGTTAGAAAAGACTACAAGATTGAGAATTAAAAAAGGCTAATTGCAAAACAATACCTGAGTAGTCTTATAAGTGAAAAGTGTATATTTAACAAATTTGTTCTTAAATATAATTTAGCTATAAAAGTTTTCTATGAAGTAGCTAAAATAGATATAAGATTTAACAAAATAACAGAAGACTCAAATATACTTGATATTGAAGGAACAGAAATTTTAAGTCTACTAAATATAAAAAAAATATGATCTTTCTTAAAGTATAACAAATCAAACTTATTTGTTTTAGAATAACTTATAAATAGCTCAAAGAACCAGCTTCTAATCTAACAACAAATCAAGTATATAAAAGATAAAAAAGCAAAAGGATATACTCTAATATAGTTTAAAAAGCTTGAAAAAAAAATACTTAAAAAGATAGCTCTAGAGAAGTTTAAGATATATACAAAACAAGCAATTCTAACAGAAGTTTAATTAAAATTCAGTTTCAAAAAGTGTCTAGTGATAAAAAGAAGAATAAATAAATATTATTTAAAAAAGAAGACTACTTATATATAGGCAAAATAGTGAAAAAAAATAGAAAAAAAAATAGTTGTTGAGTACTGAAAAAAGAAAAATCAAGTAGAATAAATGACAAGTATATTCCTTAAATATCACTAATATAAGTTAGGAAGCTTTAATGATAATATTTATTTAATCAATATTAAATATAAAAAATAGTATCAAGTAGTTAGTATAAAAAGTAGAGATAAAAACAAAATAGAGCTAAAAGCACTACTATCTGTCTATATAGAAGAAAATACAATTCATAACAAATATGATCTTAATTAAGAGATAATAGTCAAAATAATAACAAATAGTATTGAAGATGCAATTATACAAAAAATAGTAGAAAATAAGAAGATTAGAAACAAGCTAATAATTATATTTAAAAAACTAAAAAAGGAGAAAATTATTGAATATTATACAGATGGAGTACTAGAAAGAAATAGTATCAAGACTAGTTCAGATAAAATAGAAGCAGAATAGATAGTCAAAAAGAGAGTTAAATTAAGTAATAATATTAGTTCTAGTTATAGTTTAGAAAAC